CAGCTCTCTGGTTATGTGAATTCAGGCCCTGCCTTCAACTAATGAATAGAAATCAGTCTCTCTAGGTACCTAAAAAGGTCACCATCCACACAGTTCTGCCTTCTCAATCTATGTGCCCAGCTCAGGAAAGTACTGAGTCCGTCTCCCCCAGGCAATCAAGACATGAAAAGCAAGTTGTGGGCATCCGCGGAGTGGTGCACTGATATTCACACTGGATGGAAGCAGCCACTCACTAGACACCGAGCCACCAGGCCCAGCCTGTCCACCCAGGCATGCTGAGCCTGAGCTTGGCTCTATGTGTTCACTGGGAGGACAGAGCTCACTTTGCCTGTGCCTGGGTGTCCCATGCCTGGGGCCCCAGAGTTTATTTCAACTGTCCCTGTGCCCCTTTTCCTCTCTGTAGTGCCACTTGCTCAGCAACCTGACTGCCAGCACAGCTGTCTCTGTGTTCATGGGCCCAGGTTCATGGATGCGAGCAGCCACAGATGAAAACATTCAAGAGAAAATGTGCATCTGCTCTGAACATGCACCACTTTCTTTGTCATTGCTCCCTAATGACACACTATAACAGCTATGTAAGTCACACTTACACAGCACCAGGTATTCTACATCATCGAGGGCCATGAAAGTACCAGGAGGGTTGCTTAGAGAGGGGACTTGAGCCACCGCAGATTCACACATCTGTGGACGTCCTAGAACCAATTTCCCCATGCAAACAGAGGGATACTGTAACCCAGCAGCATGCTCACTTTCCAAACACTGCCAAGAGCCAAGATCTCAGCAGACCCTCCAGACCGCAAACTACCCACAGACTTTCCCAGACTCAACATGTTCAAGCCAAGGTCTCCACATCCCTCAGGGTCATACCAGGAGTCCAGGGCCCAGTCTCCGTCCCCTAGGCTGGGGTCTTCCACTGAACAGAATGCCCCTGGGCAGTCAGCCCTGGGCTGCTCTTTGGGGAGCTCTATGTGCTCACTGGGAGGACAGAGTTCACCTTGGGGAGCTGGAAGCCCTGCACTGGCCTCCACTCTGGCCAGAACTGTGCAGCTGACTCAGAAGCTCAGTCCCAGTGGGGCAGCACCAGGGTGGTGTCGGCAGGGATAGACTTGGTGGCCCTCCCAGGACTCTGGCCATCTCCAGACCAGGACTGTGATCCCAGCAGCTCCACTGGCCTGGACAAGGATAAGGGCCGGGCTCAGTCTGGGAGCTGGAATGAGCAGGTACATCATTCTGGGGTGTTGCCAGCTACTGCATGACCAGGCTTAGAAGAGGGCTGGGGTGTCTGGGCTTGAAAGGGGCTCCGCCCACATTTGTCCTGGTCCCTGGTAGCCCTGAGAGGATTTGGAGCAGTCTGTGCTGGCTGGAGAGAAGCAGGAAGGATGTCTCTCAGGTGCTCCCCAAGAGGACAACGGAGGCAATGGTCTGTTGAGAGACTTCTGATGCTGAAGGAAGTTCTCAGATCCCCAGGAGGTTCATAGGAATGGTCAATGACTCCCCCAGATCCAACTTCTCATTTGTGAAAGGGACACAGACCCACCAGATCCAGTCCCCTCACTGGCTGGTGGCCTCTTGAAGCAGAGCCTGGCTGAGTCAGTGGCTCTGTGCAGCACCAGAGGTGCAGGAAGGTAGGGGAGGGTGGGCACTGGGCCCTAGAAAGTCAGGCTCAGTTTTCTGCCCCTGGCTGGAGCTTTTCACCTTGTACCCACAACTTACAAAAGCCTAGGCAAAGAAATGACACAGACTTCTAGGGTCAGGGACCATCCTGCACAGAGCCCATGACACACGAAGCATCACTTCCTGCAAATCTCTGTATACTGAGCCCTGGGACCAGCCTACCTCCAAAGATGTCCACTGACCAGCCCCAGGGACCTCAGCTCACAGCATCTAAAAGAGGCTCAGGTGCTTTTAGATCCAAAAGTGGCCCAAGCCACATCCCCACTGTCATGCCCTCCAGGCCCACTTGCTGGCTGTCTGATGATGCAGGCGGACCATCCCTTGTGCTATGCCAACTGTGTCACGAAGAGAGCCAATCAGAACTAAGGCCTCAGATTGCCTGGAGAGAACAGAGGGGGCTTCCAACCATAGCTCATCTTGATGTAGACGCCAGCACCAATTGCTCAGAGAGGCTGGGGACAGGGCCTCACGGGGGAAGAGACAGGAGGAGCCTAGGCGTGGAGCATTCTGGGGGCAGGACCAAGAACAGGGGCAAAGAGGCCTAAAGAAAATCCTCCCAGCCAGCTCAGTGAGGTGGCATGAGGGCAGGCCATCAGCCAGCGACACCACACATGTACCCCTTTGGCCCAAAGGCTCAGGGGCAGCAGGTAAGAGATGTGACTGTGATGAGTTCAATGCTTGTGACCTTCTCCCCACAAATAGGGCCTTGGGAGGGATGAAGTCTCAAGAATGCAGCCCTTGTGACGAGATTTGGCCCAGATAAATGAAAGAGAGCGTGAACGAGCTCTTCCCTGAGTGGTACAACACCAGCGCAAGGCAACCCTCACCAAGCCCAGCTCCAGAGCCCAGAAGTAAGTTTCTATTGTTTACAATCCAGCTGTCTGTGGTACTTTGTTGTAACTGCCCCAAGAGGGAAGGCAGAAATTCTCTGACAAAAAAAAAAATCTAACAGCTCCTAAAAACTGAGAAATTCTGGCAGTGCTATGTCCATGTCCCCAGTTGGCCAACAGCCGGCCTTGATTGCCAAGTCTCCCCAGTGTCCACCTCAGCATCACCCTGCCTGGCTGTTTCTGATGTGGAGAAGCAGACATGTAGCTCACTAAGACATTTCCTCTGAGACAGGAAATGGGAAACAGGCATGAGGGCCCATGTTTCTGGGAAACTGAGCAGGAACACGTGTGCTTGGAGAGGAAAAGATGTCCAGGCTAGACAGGCCACTCTGCTCAGTGTTCACCCCTCTCTGGGGATATCTCAGCACCTAGTCACTGTGGACTAGTCAGAGAGGGGGTCTCATGGGGACACAACACAGGCCATCCAAGCACAGAGACATCCAGGTTTGTGAGTGCACTGTTGTCTCTGCCCCACCTCTGTAGGCCCTGTGCAATCCCAGGCCCCAGGGGCAAATGTAGTGTCTAAGGAAGCTCATTTCCAGCAAGGTAGGCCCAGGGTAGGATTCAGGGGTCCCAGCCAAGATCCAGGGGCTTAGGAAAGGCACAGAGGAGAGAACAGAAAGAAAAGGATTCACATCCCAGCTGGCCCAGTTCACCTGCAGCTTCTCCATCAGTCTTAGACTCTGTCCTGGACAGTCTCCTGTAGCCTCTCCCACCTCCCTGCCCCGATATCTAGGCTACAAGCCTCTTCCCGCTGCATCAGAGCTCAGCAGACACCATAAGGCAAGAAAACAGGGAATAGCTCCCTATTCATAGCCCCAGCATGGGGCAATACGTACTCAAGTTAACGACACGGTTACTCTCAGCCACACTGGCAGCCGCCAATGTGAACGGGGCTGATGGACAGTCAGATGTGGGATTTGCACCTCTGCCAATACCAGCCCCTTATATGACACAAATCCCACTGGTAATCCCCATCCAGGACCCACTGGCCACCCCACCTCTGCACAGGCCACGTCTCCCTTCTCTGAAATGCTTGGGTTTAGAATTTCTTCAGATTTGGGAATACTTACATAAGTATCTATGGATGCTCAGAGCAGAACCCAGGTCTAAACACAACATTCAGTTGTTTCCTACATCCCTGCACATATAGCCTGAGGGTCATACAACATGATAGTTTAGTACAGTTGCCCTGTGTCCACCACCTGTCACATGAAGTCAGGTCCAGAGTTCCCTTACAGCATCACATCAGCTTTGAGAAAGTTTCAGATGTGGCAGCGTTTTAGATGGGAGGGTGACCACTTTGTCCTGCAAGGCTGCTCCACAGGGCACTCTAGAAGGCCTGGGAACAGGAACCCTGGAGCCCAGCCTCAAGCACCACCCGACCACCTGTGCCCAGGCATTCCCCAGCTCAGAAGTGGCTCCAGGCTGCAGAGCACCACTTCCTAACCAGGATGGGAAGCTAGGACCTTCAAGCCCTGGCTCTCGTCTGCTGGCACCCCATGCAGTAACTCTGGCCCCTCTCCCACATACCCCCTGAAGCCCAGCCGTTCTCCAAATCAGTCTTGGGCACACTTTGCATCCAGATGCCCTTCCCACAGGACCGCTAGGGGGCTCCACATATCTCTTCTCTGCCTCCACACGGACAGTGCAGTGCCACAGTGAGGGAGGGGGTCCATCCCACCTGCTACTCAGCAGAGGGAACCCCAAGGCCAAGGAGACCCCAGATTTCAACACAGCACCAGCAGTGCACACCCCCACCAGCCTATACCCACACTCAGACCTCAGTGACAGACACAACCCCATACTCCAAAACCTACCTTGGGGCTCAGCCCTGTTCCAGGAACATGAAACTAATAGGCCTGATACTTGGACAAACTGGCTTGTGCCAGGAGTTGACATAGATAGGCTCTTGCGTGTAAGGGAAATGCATTTGACATTCCCAAGGGGCATCCCTCAGGGGTCCCCCTCGCCAGGCCTCACAGACCATACCTGACAATTCCCATATTCATGACAGGACAGCCATGGGGAGCAAATCCCAGCAAGCCACAAATCCTAAGGCTCAAACCTCAAGCATTGGAGTCCCTGAGGAAAGCGAGTGTGCCAGCTGCAGACACTGGCAGTCCTCAGCAGTAGGGATGTCCTTTGAGAGAGCACCAAAGAGCATGGCCTGTGACAGGGAAGAAGCTGCAGCCTGGTGGCGGTCAGTCTGGAAAAATGACCTCCACAATAAGCCCTCTGTCTGTTGGGAGGACGCTTCACAACGACATTCACTTGCACTCTTGGGCATGTGGCAGTCAGAGGGCTGATGCACAAGAACCACTGTGACGCTGGTTGTCACAGCCAGCAGAAGGCAGAGGGAGCAAACAGTGAGGCCCAGCTGGGCTGATGTCCCCACCCCTCCCTTGGATGCCTGGGCAGCTGAGAGAGACTAACCTTTCAGGGAGGCCACGTGGGACAGGGCCTGGGCATAGGTGGCGGTGTTGAGCAGCGTACCCGGCAGGCAGGATGGGAAAAATGGTCCTGCAGGTCCCACGGCTCGCCCCAGGCTGGCAAAGAGAAAATCTTGTTGAATTCCCACTGCGTCCCAGTGCTTGAGGCCCCAGCCTGGCCAGCAGCCTCACCTCTGTGGGGCCTCCAGTGCCTCCTTCTTGCTCCGTGCCTGATCCGTGGGTGGCGGTGAGTTGATGTTCCTCGCAGGTGGTGGCGTCACCTCGGCCATGGGCTCCTTGGTCCCTGGTTCCTGCTCTGAAGCTCCTCTTTCTGTTTTCCTCCATTTAGCTCTTCGGTTCTGGAACCAAACCTGAGTTCCAATGGCAAACACAGCAAGGAAGAAAGAAAATGAGACAAGAGGCAGAGCCCATGCCCAACACAAGCGCCAGGACCAAGGCTGCATGGGGGATGGGCAATGTAGCCCCTGTCTACACTCTGCTCTCTGAACCTGAGCTTCTGCCCTAGGATGGATTGGATCCATTTGGAAGCTTCTAACAGGCATTTCTCAATACACGTTAAATAACAGAAATACCTAAGTACCTTGCCCGCAGGAAAGGTACACATCATCTTGTGGAAACTCTCGGTCCTAACTTACACTAGAGCACTGGTTTGATGTGAGATGTACTTCCCACCAGAGCACTGTCAAAGCAGTTTGTGAAGCATGGCCCAGGGCTTCTCACCAAAACAACTGAGCCCTGAGCACTGGTCTCATGCCTGAGCTCTGTGCGTCCACATCACAAGTTCATGACCAGCACACTGGGACACCCACTGCACCTCCTTACCCCAAGTCAGCCAGGGTATAGAATTCTGGATTCACTGAACCTCCTCTGGAATCCACTGCAACTCTATGTACTAAGAAGTCCTGCAAGCCCCATTTTACAGGCTAACACACTAAGCACTGAGAGGTTAATTTCCCAGAGGTCATCCAGGTGGTCAAATTGCAGTCAGTGAAGGCTCCGACCGGGACCCCAGCTGTTCAGGAGCAATACTGACAGTCCCTCGGCATCACCAGGGAGGTTGGCATGCACAGAAACACTGGTCTGAGTGCCCGGTGCACGGAAATCCACCAGTGAAGTCGCCTGTGTGAGAACCATCGTCATCACCCACAGGCCAGCAAGAGAAATGAGTCACCTCTACCTAAGAGCCTCTTTAGAGACTGGCACCATCTTGGAAACCAAAAATGCATTTGCAGGAGGAGGAGGTGCCTGGTAGTAGTTGGGCAACCTGGTTACGAGGTGTACCAGGAGGTCAGCAAAATCAGCTGTCTTCACTCCCCCCAGCAAAGCCTCTCTTCTCCTCTATTCTCCTCTCCTGTCCTCTCCCCAGAGGTAATTCTTGGCTTTAAAACAAAAAAGCCTTGCCTGGGCCTCACTCTCATCCCTGGGGGCCTCCTCTCCTTCTCCCTCCCAGGCTGCTGCAAGCTGGCAGGAAGAGAGCCTGGGTCCTCAGGGCGAGCCCTCTGCCAGCCCACCCTATCTCTTAATTTTCATTCTCCTTTAACTGGGTTTCTTTCTTTCTTTTTTAATCAAGTTGGCTTTTAATTGCACGTATCAGCAACCATTGAATAATGATTTTATCTATATTCTAAATTTAGGGCAGTTAAATGCAAAGCAAAATGCAGACACTTTCTTGTGTCTTAATTGAATGAAGGTCACAGCTATAACAACATTTAATTGAGCTATTTTTCATTATCATATTTTAATGACTTTCCACTGACAGTTCGCCTGCTTCTGAGGGAAGAGCATGATGGAGTCGTTTATTTCCCTATTTAGTTATTGTTTGACAACATCAGCTTCGATTAAGACCCTGCTTTATAGAACATTAATCATATTTGAATGAGCAAGGGGTAGAAATGTAAACACATCTCCCTTCCTACCACCAAAGCCCATGTCCCCGTATGGAAGCTGGCTAAGCCAAAGCTTCACAGCCATTGTCTGCCTGCATAATAGCCAACAACAGCCTGGACAACAATTCCCAGCTTTAATTGTCGCCACCCCTATCTTACCCTTGCACCTTTCAGGGAGAAGTTATGATCTTCCACTTCTGAATGCTCAATAATTGTGTCATTTATCTCAATTTGCAGTTCAGTCTTTATGCAGCTATTGGCAAGCTGGCATTAAAAACAGAAACTATAGACGGTATCCTGGCCAAAGAAGATTTTCATTTTCAAATAATAATCAGTTTAATTTGCCCGCATATGACCAATGATTCATGTTCAGATTTAATAATCAGGATCGCATAATCTGATTATAGGGGAAATAATTTGTTTACAACCCCCAATTTACTGCTCAGAATTCCATTATCTCTCTTCAGCCATTGGTTTTTAAGAGATACTAACATGACCCAGGGGAACTGAAAGCAAACTATTATATTTCCTACAATTAGATCTTTGCATAGGCTTAACCCCAAGCCCCTACATAAAAAACAACAGAAACAGCATGAAGGAAACCCCATAAATAAAATGAATATAGAATTGTGCTCAAAGAATAGCGTTCCCGGAGAGGCAGCACTGCGGAGCTCTTCCTCTGGAGCCCAGCACATCTGGTGGGCTAGGCGGTTCATGCGCTTCAGCTTAATCACCATGCAGCTTCAGAAAGAAGCCCTGCTAGGAGCCGGTTGTGCAGGCTGCGCGCATCTCTGCTGAGCCCTTTGGCTGCCGCTGTTTAAAGATTTTTAAATTGCACGTGTTCATTGCATCCACTCGGCTGGCTGAAAGAGCAGGCGTGCAGGGGGAAAGTTTGGGCATGATGCACTTTCTGGAAAGCCGATCCTGCCCTGCTTCCCATCTGAAAACGTGGTTCTCTGCAATTGACCGGCCTCGCCCCAGAGCGGTCAGATCTGCTTTGAGAATAGCATCTCAGCTTTTTTTTTTTTTTTCCAAAGCAAGGAAATGGATGTGCATTGATGTAATTTAGTACCTTAGAGACGCGGACAAATTAGTGTAGAACATTATCACTAGTTAATTATGAATGACCGATTAATCAACCTAATCTAATATTCCACATTATGTTGATGTTATTAAAGTGCATCATGAAAATGACAGATAGTCTTCATTTGCTTTCTTTGGCCAAATGTGCACTCTGCAGTCATGATGTCAAAAAAAAAGTTTGCCAGTTTTAATATTAGAGAGTTAAATAATTAAAAAGAAGGTTTACCTGCACTCTGGCTTCTGTTAGGTTTATTTTCATGGCCAGCTCTTCCCTGGTGAAGACATCTGGGTAATGTGTTTGGGCAAAGACGGCCTCCAGGGCTTCCAGCTGGTAAGGGGAAAAAGAGTTACTGGTTAGAGGCTACAGTGAGGTGAGGGGCTGCACTGTGCACTTCCAATCTGATCCAAGTGGGAAGAAGCAGTTTCTCAGACTGAATAGAGGAAGGAGATGGAGGAAAGAGCTCTTTGAAAATATTCCACAAAATTAGATTCTCAACCCTGAAGGAATTAGGAGTTTAGATTTAATAACAACCTCAGTGCTCCCTCCAAGAGTAGAAATAAGAAGAGAGCTTGACCGTTTCTGTGTGTTTATATTTGACGGTTGTCAAGCGATCAGAAATCAGGTGGCCTTGTGAGCAGACTAATCCGCAGCTTCTACCACGCGCAGAGAGTAAGGTCGCCAGTCAAGCCCTCCTGCCTTGTCCCACAGAGGACTTGTAGAGTATAAGGGATGCCTGCCCAGCTGCCCTGGGTGCTCAGGCCCTGAACAGAAGTTGATCTCAGGGAGAAGTCAGCTCCTAGGAAGACTGACAGAGAGATTCCCCTTACCATCAGCAACACTATGTGCAAGCCAGTCAGCTACGTGGGCACTAGTCTTCCTACCTATCTCTTAAGGATAAGCAAGAATGGCTGACCTGCCTTCCCTAAAGAGGTACAAATGGCATTGCTGATCTGAAAATGTGCCCTGATCCGTCAACCTGAGCCAAATGGGAAACTTGACTGCCACCTCTTCCCGCGACTCTCTGGAAACACAAGGTCAGTCATTTGCCCTCTACCCAAACAGAGTCCTCAACACATAAATTGTTCAAGAACACAGAAAGATGAAGCCAGCCTATTCCAGTGGGTTTGTCTAAAGAGAGGGAGAGTTCCTCAAGTCTGCCCTTGGGGGAAGCAGAACATGGCTGGTTCTTCCAGCAGGTAGGGACTCTGACCTACCTGCTGGAGGGTGAAGGTCGTCCGGTTCCGGCGTTGTTTTCTGCGCAGGAAGCCATCATCAAAGTCCCCTGTGGAGTGGTTGCCAAAGGGCGCAGAGCCTAAGAGACCAAAGAGGTCAGAGTGGCCAGAGGGACCCCATTGTCAGCATACGTAGCCACAACAGCTGAACTCAGGGTTCCTTTGATGGACACCAACACCCTCCCTGACACATTCTTTAAGACTCCCTCTTCTCCAATTTCTCCTGCTCTCTCTCTCCAGAAAGAACCCTTCACCTTCAGACCAGTTGTCCCTATTGTGCATAACAGTAGTGACCTTCATCCCCAAGATGGCCAAGGCCACCCTGTGGAATTCCAGAATCTGATCCAGGAGGGGTCTCTGGCTTGAGGTGGAACCTACATCTGCCCCTGGGCACACAGCTGCACCTCTGTCCGAGACCTGCATGTTGAACCTTTACAGGTCCTCTTGGTGCACTCATGAGTTTACTTCCCCTGTGCCTGTCACCTGCAAGGGTTAAAGGATGAGGATGGAGAGGATGGGGGCAGGGCACCAAGAGCATTCACAGTCCTTTGCTCCTGGAAGAGTACAAGTCGAGGAGGTAAGAAGTTTATAAATGAATATTAATTACCACTGGTCACAGCTCATCAGCACCATAGTGGATCTGTTATATAGATGTCAATTAACAAAAGCTCTGCACCAATCGCAAGTGTCCTGAATGCCAAGCAGACTAAACAGAGCCACTTTCAATAGGCGCCCTCTCTCCAACCCAGTCATGTAAAGCACCTCCTGCTACTTCAATCGTCCCTAAAAAAAAGACAGACATCGTCCTCCCTGGCAGCCTCCACAGCTCACAATAAAGCCAGAACAGAGTTCGGCCCCAAATGTGCATTCAGATCATTTTCCAAATGTGCACTATTTACTTGATAGTCCACAATGGCTTCTTAGGAAAACAACGAGCAAGTTTCCATTAACCAGGGAACGAGTTACCTGACGTGGCTCTGTGCTCAGAAACCCCCTGAGCTCAGCACCCACTCTCAGGCCACGGTGCCCAGGTGTACCCCTGCTGAGGATGTCAGTTCTTAGGGCTTTCTAAAATCCTAGACACTAAGGGAGCCTATATTTTTTTTACCCCCAGAGCCACATCCCTTGCCAAGATGCACTCCTTTCCCTGCTGAAGGTTTCTGCCTCCATCTTCCAGTCCAAACTGCACCTCTGCTCAAAACAGTAGTTGTAAATATTTCCCTCCAGCTTACTGCAAACCTAAAAGGGATGGCCTCCAAGCTGTCCCATTCCCATTTCTTTGCAAAAAGCCCAGTTGTCTCCTTTTGAAACAAACTGTTTGCATGGTATGGCTAGAATGCCATTTCTGAGGTCTCAAACCACAGTCTTACACCTACGTGTCACAAATTGCCTCACACTTCTATGTACAGCAGCTTGGGTTGTCAGGGTGAACCCTCCAAAAAACTGACTTCATCAAATCAAGACAAAGAAGGGAATGAGCAAAAGAGAAGAGCAGACTTTTACTTAAATAGAATGGTTGATAGCGTTATGCAAATGTTAAACTTTGTAGGTACTTGAAACAAAAAAGAACAATGAAATACTATTTTTTATTAATTTAGCAAAAAAAATTAAATTAAGTTCATCGTGATGCCCAGTACAGATAAATTGTAATAAGTTGTACACCTTCATTTATCATTGATAAGAATATCAATTATTATAGCCTTATTAGAAAATAACTTTGCAATAATCATAAAAAATTTACATGCATATTCAGGCATTTAATCTATGAATATATATTTTAAAGTGTGCCAAAATAGAGAAGAACGTTCCTGGAAACACTATAATAGGAAAAGTAAATGAAAAACAATTGAAATATCCATCAGTGGCCACTTTCTGCCCTATGTATAATGGAATACTACACAGCTATCTAAAAGAAATTAGCAGGCCTGCATATATTGACGTGAAGAAACCTCCAAGATGTATTATGAACCACAGAAGTACTCCACAATACGATCTTAGTGCAAATAAGCCAGCAAATATAAAGAAAAGAAACATAAGTGAGGGGTAAGAGGCTGTTTTTCTAGAAAGGATCCTAAGAAACCCACAACAGCATGTATCTTTAGGGGGAGACTAGGAAAACAGTTTAATTTATTAATGCATAGATTCCTTTTCTATTTGTACTTCTTGGGAAAACATATGCCGTGCTTTTTAATTTATAATATCAGTAAAAACATCTGAGATGTCAGAGTAGGAGCTGTACTTTGTTTCTTCCTGTGTGCTTCTCTCGATTAATAAAAAATTACTATTAAAAAGCTGATTGGCTTTGATCCGATGTCCTATGCCAAGGTCTTTTCTAAGCATGTCCATTTACAACAGCTCATCCCCCCTGCAAACTAACCTAAAATTCCTCTTCCTGCAAAACCATCAGAGAAACACACCTACAGAGGGGTAGAGGGGCCCAAAAGCCCTGGTACCTTCTCTTCCAATTATACCAATCCAAGTTAGCATCCTGGTGGCATGTGCCAGGATGCACATCCAGGGACAGCTGAGAGAGCAGGAGCCAAGACTGTTCCTAGGCCATTTCTGCAACCTACCCTATCTGCAGGGTACCCTTTAGGTGACCATCCTACCCTCCTAGGTGACCCAGTATGTCTGCCACTTGCTGAATGCCTGAGCCTCTGCCTGGCCCAGTTGAGTCAAAAGAGAGCATTGTGGGGTGGCTCAAACTGGGATTCAGAAGCATCCTGTGTGTGGAGGATCTGCTCTGGATGCTGGCACAGGGTCACATCATGGACCAGGCACAGGTCATGAGATGGCAGAAGTGAAATGATGCATTCTGTGTCCTCCCTCTGTAGGTAGCATGGCAGACCTGGCGGGGCCACACTGCTCCTCGTGGACTTCCCCTAGAACACCCTGCTGGACACCTGAGCACTTAGACAGAAAAACAAAAGCAAACTTTGGAAAATCCCAACAGCGGCTGATCTAGGAAGTGAAGCATCCTCTGCTGCCTCTTATTCCTCACTGGCTACCAGCCTCCCTGCTCCTGTGTCCCCATTCTGGATCTGCACAGTGTCCCAGGGCAAGCATAAATGGCAGAACTAGACTGCTAAAGACCATACAGGGACAATTCCCAGGGTTAGGAATCCTGATTCCCAGGGCTGCAGGTCCCAGGAGGGTCCCAAGGTGGGGCTGAATTTCCCCTGGTGAACCCCTCTTGGGGAAGGGGGACACCCCAAGATCCAAGTTGTCCTCACCACCACATCCCCACACCAAGGCTCCTGCAGGAAAATTTCTTCTAAGGTCTGAGGACCTGGCCCTGGGGGAGTAGGTGGCTTGGAAGAAAAGAACCCCAGCAAGTTACACAAAAGGAACTCTGCCATGGCACTGAGGTATCTTGGGGAGCACTTGGCTCCAGGGACTGTGTGGCTGATGGAACTGATGCTGCTTGGCAGGGTGCTGGAGCTCCCTCCGTAATGCCCAGAGCAAAGGCTCTTGCCGGCTGGCTCTAGGCAAGGCCCCAGACGGGTAGCCAGCTCACGGCTTTCTGGGATGTTTGCAAACTGCCGTGAAAGATTGATGCGGCCCCCGGGCAGAGAAACCCCGATTACAGGCGTGACACCAGCATCTGTGCTGGGACGACCCGCTTCCCCACCGCACAAATAGCCCGGGGCCACCCAAACGGTGCAGGGAGGGCATGGGGAGGCAGGTGGCGCGGGCTGGGGGATGAAGCCGGGAACAGAGAGGGGGCCCAGGGCGAACTGGGCGCGCTGGCGAAGACCCCTCCACCCGAAGCCCGGCTGCTGCGCTGCTAGGCTGGGCCCTCCCAGGCTGGCGAGCCTACTCACCCTCCAGCTGCGGCGGGCAGTGGAAATAAAACATCGCCGACGGCCGTCGCAGCGGCGGCACGGCCAGACTTGGAGGGTGGCGGCGGGACCCTGGTGCTCGTCGCTCCGGCCTGGCTGCAAAGCAAAAGGCGACAGAACCTGAGTCCCCGCCCGCTCTCGGGCCAGCCCGGGAGCGCATTGGGAGCTCCCCTCGCGGGAAGCCCCCTCCCGACGGCCTCAGCTCACTGCGGGGACTGGAGGGAGGTGGCGGCAATCCCAGTCGCAGGCCTGGACCCCCGGGCGAGCCTTTCTGGTAGATCTGCCTCCCAGACAACGGTGCCTGCACTCCAATCCCACACTGGCCCACAAGGTCGGGTCCGCGCTCCCGGGGTCCCCGCCGCAGTCCCTTGCCAGCTGCTTCGCTGGTCTGGCGAGCGCGCAAGGCCATCATGTGCCCTGGGCCGGGAGGCAGCGGAGCAGAAGGCCAGCACGCGGGGCCCGCAGCAGGTCGGGTACCCAGCGGCTGGTGAGGAGCCGCAGCCGGGGGTCGGGAACCCTGCGTACCTCCCTCCGCAGGCGGCGGCGAGGAGGCCGGAGCGGGGCCGCCTGGCCGCACCAAGCTCTGCTGGCGGCGGGCGGGGCTCGGCGCTGCTGGCGCCCGCAGGACCCGAGAAGTGACTCGGGAAGTGGCCAGATGTCTTGCTGTCTGTCTACAGCGCGCGCCGCGGCTCAGCACTCGCCTTTATAATCTCACGCATAATTGGCCTTAATCTGATTATTTCCAGCGCTGTCTACAGCAAGTAACTTGGATAGGTCTATTGGGCCTTACAAACGGCCCACGTGGTGTAAAAGAAAAAAAAAATCCGTCATTTCTCAGCAAACATGAGGAATGTTTTTTTCTCTTTTCCTTTAAAAGAAGCAACAACGGCCACCACCGTTACCCCCCAAACAGAGGTTCGGTTTTCTCAGCCCTCTCCCATCCACGCGCCCCCCTGACACTCAAACCTTCTTATTCCCGGAGAGATTAGATTTGGACTGTCCTTGTGACAGGCCTGGCGATTCCCGGGCTTCGAGTTGACAAAGCACTGCTAATTGTCACCGCCGGATGGGTTTTGGGGGGACTCTGCACACGGCTTCCCTTTCCAAGCGATCGTACAAAAGCAAAGTTTGATTTTGTTCTCAGCAAGGGGTCCCTGAATTTATGTTCGCTTCTCCATGCAAATGATATGCGGTGGGACCCTTCGCAATTACTTTTAAAATGCATCCGAGGCAGACACTCAGCAGAGAGAGACCGCCCTTCGCTCTGCCTGGGTGAAAATTAAACTCTAAAGTACCGGGCTGAAATTTTCAAGTCAGGGGCGCGGGATTGGATCAAATCACATAAACTGCAAAAAAAAAGCCAGTCTAATGGCTCGTAATTGGTTCTGCAATAGCATTACACCAGGATAATAGCCCGTTACGGCCCCCTGCACTATTAAGTGCTTCCCTGGCGGAAAGCCTTTATGATATTAAAGGGGGAATATAATGATATTTTGGTTATTAAATGCGTGTAATTAATTTATGCACCACTGAAAATAAAGTTGGTATTATGACCCACTCAAGATGCATCAGAAGATGCAAGTCAGACAACTGTTGATAAGTTCTGGTGTCTGTGCTCCGTCTAGACTGCTGATTTTATTTTGGGACGATGGCTTCTTGGACAGACTGCATAAATTGAATATTTTATAAACATTCTAATGCTGCGTTCTGGAGTCTTGGCGAGGCAAGGGTCGGGTCGTTGCCGGCCCAGGATCCAGCCCGGATCTTAAAGACACAGCACGCTGGAAACAGAAGTCCTGGAGGGCCCACTCGTAGACACGGCCCTTGGCGGCAGCATGGAGCTTGAGAGTGTGGCGCTGGGGCCCCAGACCGCACGTGGACCCCGAAGACAACGCGGCGTCCCGGGCCCAGGCAAGTCGGGGCCTGCCTCTCGGAGCGGGGATCCTAGGCTCGGCTCCCAGGCGCAGGCAGTCTGCTCTGCAGCGAATCTGGCGCGGCGGAAACGGGGGCTCGGTTCGAGCGTAGAGACGCCGGGGCCCCTGCGTTCGTAAGCCGGTCGGCTGGCTTGTGAGGTGGACTCCCGGGCTCCGCGAGGCGGTGCTAGGTCGGCCGGGCACGCTGCGGCCGCATCTTGGGAGAGCTGGAGCTGGAAACCTGCCCTGTCTCAGCCTCGGCACTGTCACTGTCTTTCCCTGTGTCCCTCAAAGGACCCCTACTTTCTGCAGCCCTTCTCCTGGGCTGGAGGCTCCTTTGAGCTCCGGTTTCGGCAAGGAGCCTCTTGGGTCTCTCCCCGCCCTGGAATGCAGCTCCTCGCTGCGCGCCCTGGGAAGCGGAGCGAGAATGGGTCCGTGCAAGCTCAGCCAAGACGCCCAGGACACATCGGCATCGGCGTGGTGACCCAGAGCCGGGCTTTGCAGGGGCCCCATAAACCGAGAGGGTCTAAGTCTCGTTCTCAGCTCCCATCCCTGACATCGCCCGACCCAGGTTCCTGTCAAGGCCCAGAGGTGTCCCGGGGACTGCGCAGGCACAGGTGTGTTCGGGTCTGTGAGCCGCGCACTGCCCGGGCGACGCGGTGGATCAGAACCCTGGACAGCGGTGCGCCCGCCTACCCACCCAGATTGAAAGCCTGAAAAGAAGCAGGAACCCCGGTCCTCCCCTGCCAATGCCGCGGAGGCTGGACACTCCTGCGTTGGGAGACAGACCCCTTCCGTTCTGGCCCTAGTCTGCGAAGTTACTTGGGACGCACGCTCCGCGCTTAGCGCGGGTACCGAACTCCGAGTCTGCAGTCCGCGCGCTGTCCGACCGGACCGCTCAGCCAGGAATCGTCCCGCCGCCGAGAGCAGCCAGGCCCGGCCCCGCCCCATCCCCTACCCCCACCCCCAGTCCTAGAAGCAGGGCTGGACAAGAAGCCGCCGGGTCCGAGAGAGGCCGCCACGCAACGGGTTGATCCAGGCGCTGAGTTCCCGCGGCCTTCCACGCCCAGCTTCTCCTGCCGGAGCCACGGCGCCAGGTGTTCACTAAATATCGATGAGCGACCCAAGAATCGCAGAACAAAAGCTCCACAAACTATGAACAGAACCATATTCTTTCCCCTGGTTGTCGCCTATACTCGGGACCCTGGAGAAGGTGACTGATAGGTATTTACTACACCCTCCCCCCCCCACACACACACACACGAGCTCTAATAATGAAACGGTCATTTTTTCCCTTAATTCTTATGCTGTAAAATGTATTTTCCAATTAACCAAATTTGTCGATCTGTCCCGCTTGGACACTCTGATAATTTACAACGTGAAAGTGTACTTTCTTTATCTAAAGACCAAGGTGACTGCTTTTAATTTTCTCCAACCTCTTTACACTTGATGTTCACCAGGCTCATAATGTTAATTGGCTTTATATACGGATCATCAGTTTAATGAAGAAATAAATCCTGTGTTGCTTTATGTTTTAACAGTGATTGCTTTAATGAGGAATGTGACGTGTTCCAAAATCAAAGCTGCAGGAGACCTTAAAGGGGCTTCTATTAGGGTGGAAATGCTTATTTAAAGTTAAAACCACGGAATCATATTTCAATAGATTGTTCTATTTCTCGCCCTCCCCACTCCTCCTGGGTCACTATTGGCCTCTGCAAGGAGACAACTATGGAAGCTCCCATTTCTCATCTAATCTTTGGCCACTGCAGAAGCTATCTTTTCTGTAAGAATTGTTTTCTGGTCACCACATAAGGTATGCGACATTTCCTGCTCTCCTGCAGGGTAGGGAGAAACCAGAGCTGAGCAGAGAGTTCAGCTTTCAATTTTACTCATGTTAAAAAAATAAATAAAGTGGGACAAGCAACACACACAGCCTGGGACTTGTGGGCAGATGCACTACAAACAGCTACCTGAGGCGCACAGCCCTGAAGCTGGAATTCGAAACTCCATTCTTGAGGGCACTCAGCTCTGGCCCAGGCCCAGTGGAAGACCACTGGCAGTACAAGCTCAGGACCCTGACAGTCTTCTGGGGAAGCACAGGGCTCCTGTCCAGGTGGTGGGGACTTTACTTCTCTGTATCAATTAATAGCAGAGTAAATCTGCTTTCTCTAATGTGTCTTTGATTTTTCTAAATTTAAGCCAGTTCTATGAAGGAAAACTGTCATCACAAAAACACTGAGAGCAACAATCAGATGCTGGAAATGGGAGCAACTATACATTCGAGCCTTCAGTTGTTCTCAGATGAAGTATGAGTCGTTGGAAATTGATTCCTGAAAAGAATCCTAAATCCTTAGAAAATATAGGGATGTGAAGCTAGGGTTTGAGATAGCCACTGCCGTGCACAAGAATGCCCCCCTTGGCATTGGTGCTGCTTTAGGAAAACTGGGGACTCATTCGGGTGGACAGTGTGCACATATTTGAGTCCAAATACCTGAACATGTGTTAGACTTGACATCTTAGTAGTGCTCGGGAGAGATCTTTCCATCCTCTCTTAAAACTTTTCTTAGCACAAGTGATTTCCATAAACATGATTTAAATCCATAATAATGGGGCAAAGTAGACAACATACTTCAATTAACAGGGAGAAGAAAAAAAAACACATTAGACTCTTAACTATGCGTTTTGGGAGGGTTTGTGTGATTTGTACTGTTGTTTTGATACTAATTTAAAAAACGAGATTCTCAGTATAATCCCCACTGACCACCCAGCCCTCTTGCACAGAGGAAAAGTGTGGGTATGCTTGGTGTGAGTACTGCCTATCTGCAAATCTCCTGGCATAGTTTTGGAAGTTGTCAGTAAAGCTGGGTTTGTTAAACATGATAGAATAT